TCCATGTGTGGGGTTGCTTTTCAACCAAGGGAGTGGGCTCTCTCATAATTCTGCCCAAAAACACTGCCATGAATAAAGAATGGTATCAAAACGTCCTGCAAGAGCGACTTCTTCCAATGATCCATGAGCAATTTGGTGATGATCCGTGTATTTTCCAGCATGATGGAGCACCATGTCACAAAGCAAGAGTGATAAAGAAGTGGCTCGAAGAGCATTGGAATTTTGGATCCGTGGCCAGGCAACTCCCTGGAGCTCAATCCCATAGAGAACCTGTGGTCAGTCCTCAAAAGACGAGTGGACAAGCAGAAGCCCACAAATTGTGATCAACTCCGAGAACTAATAAGGCAAGAATGGATCGTCATCAGTCAGGATTTGGCCCAGAAGCTAATATCCAGCATGCCAGAGTGAATCGCAGAGGTTATGAAGAACAAGGGTCAACACTGTAAATATTGACTCATTACATATTTTTTGCCAATAAAAGCCTTTAAAACTTTTGATATGCTTATCATTGTTTTTCAGTATACCATAGAAATATGTGGAAAAATAATCTACAAATACTGAAGCAGCAAACTTTGCAAAACACAAAATGTATGTCACTGCCAAAACTTTTGGCCATGACTGTACATAATCCATTCACAATTTGGAGAAAAGTTTTATTTGTCTAAGAGGACCAAACATCCACGTATACCATTTCAGGAATGACAACCGTGAGTGTAAAATGTACGCGAGTGAAACCGTTAAATCATGCCACGAGTCAATGCTATGGTTGACAGTGGCAACGGAATGAATCTTCTGATGAGCCGATGTCAAAATACAGATGTGCATTAAGTCAAAACTAAAGCAGTAACCAGTCTGTGTTGGATAAAACTTAAACGATGCATTTATTAAATTAAATCTAAACATTTCAAAATACTAAAAAGCCTACATTATTTAATTGTTATACCAACTTATTTAATTTGTGTTTAAGGTATTTAAATAATTCAGCATTCTAGGCTGTTGTCTGGCCTTATTTATTTTATTTTTTTAAATAACAAGTGACTTTGTGATTTCCTGCACTTGTGTCCTTCCATTTGAGAAGCACTTAGTGAGTCTGAAGACCTTGATTACTTTGGTTCAGCTAAACTCTGCAGGACAGTGGCCCTTGTCCAGGTTTGGACACCCCTGATATAACATCTTTTTCTCTCTCTCTTTATGTATATGGGTGTAATGTTTAATTTGTAGAAGACAGACATGAGAGCTATGACGATGTCACGACGAGCGAACAGAACTCTGATATTAAAAAAGGTGTTTTACCTTTTTTTGAGTATGTTTAACATAATACCTTTACAATGATGCTCAGTACTGATATGATGATGTGACATTTGTTGTTTATATCTTCATGTATGTGTAGTGGACACACTAGATTATGATGATGTCATCATTATTGGACAGCACTTTCAAGGTGTAACGAGTGAGTCACACAGAACTGCAATTTAATATCACTCTTATATATGTTTTATATAATAAAATAATACCATTAATGAATCAACATGGCTTTATCAGGTTTAATCTAATAGTCTCTGACAGTCATGAGGAGTAAGAGATCAAAGACACGAGCTGTGTTACACATTACAATGTGAGGTTTTATTTCACAATACCATTAATGAATCAACATGGCTTTATCAGGTTTAATCTAATAGTCTCTGACAGTCATGAGGAGTAAGAGATCAATGACACGAGCTGTGTTACACATTACAATGTGAGGTTTTATTTCACATGTGTATCAGAGGGAGATCAGCAGGAGTATGATGATGTGAAGAACAGCAATGAAGATGAGAGAAACCTGTTTGGTAAGTTATTGTCACCTTTTTACATAATCTACTTTCAATCATGTCGCTCACTTAAACTCTATTTAAATTAAATTGTGATGCATTTATAAAGAACATGTGAATTTGCTTTTTTTCAAAAAACAGACTATGACGATGTGGAGGAGGAGTCAAATAAAGAGGGAGGGGTCATATGACTCAATGGCTACACTCTCTGCCTCTGTTCATGAAATCATATTAGTTACTGGAGCTGCTGGGAGCTTCTCATATTGCTACTAATGCATCAATGCCTTATGTTTTTATGTTATTTTAAATATTTTTGTATGAAAAGTTACATGCTTTGCAAAATTCAGTATCAACAAATTTGTATTTTAGCATTTGTTCTTTTATTTCTATTTTGATATCAATGCTTTTCACCTAATAAACAAAAGATATCATTCCAACATCATGTCACAAAATTACTTTTAAAAGAGCGGGTGAATTTGCTTTTTTTCAAAAAACAGACTATGACGATGTGGAGGAGGAGTCAAATAAAGAGGGAGGGGTCATATGACTCAATGGCTACACTCTCTGCCTCTGTTCATGAAATCATATTAGTTACTGGAGCTCCTGGGAGCTTCTCATATTGCTACTAATGCATCAATGCCTTATGTTTTTATGTTATTTTAAATATTTTTGTATGAAAAGTTACATGCTTTGCAAAATTCAGTATCAACAAATTTGTATTTTAGCATTTGTTCTTTTATTTCTATTTTGATATCAATGCTTTTCACCTAATAAACAAAAGATATCATTCCAACATCATGTCACAAAATTACTTTTAAATGAGCGGTTAGAGAAAAGAAGAAAGTTATGCTATAAATGTTTAAGTATGTACTTTTAGGCTGCTGACAGCATTATTTACCTAAATATAATGATAAAAATAGATTTACCACATAATATATATTATAAAGCTTCATGTTTTTCCATAAGCTTACTGTCATAGCATCAGTTCATTACTGTTAGCTTGAATTAACTTAAAGAAGAGTATAATGTAATATTTTATTTACTAGAAATATTACAGGGAAAGACAAAGGTATACACATCCTTGAGTTAACAAAAACAAACAAAAACACCTCACCCAAACTGCACAGTTTGTGTAATGGTCCATTTTAACTTTACAGTCTAATTTTATGGATGATACTGAATTATTTGCGTTGAGCTTGAATCTTTTGCAGCAATAGCTCCATATGCAGGTTAAGGTTGGGCTGACCCTTTTTGGTTTTTCTTTTCAACAACTGATATGTTGCCGTTTTCTTCTCCTTGTATTTCTTCAGAGCCTCCTCTCGCTGAGCTTTGTCTTTCAAGAATTCCTACACAGACACGCATAATAAAACATGCATCAATCGTTTCCCAAAGAATGCAAAGGATGATTAAAATATGTATGTTTACATGACATAATGGGTCCTTAATGACAGGAGATTCATTAGGGAATGGAAAACTGTACAACAATTCCATCATACTGATACATTTGCTAGGTTTTATTTCCTCACCTCACTTTTTCGTGCACGTTCCTCCTTTATCCTTTCATATTCTTGCTTTGTCTTCTTATACGATGACATTTTCTGCTTCTGCTTTCTTTGGATGAATGGAGTCTTGTGGGAGCTGATGACACAAATCAGGAATCAGGAATGTGGCTTTGTATATTTGTGTGTGTGTGTGTGTGTGTGTGTATATATATATACACACACACACACACACACACACAAATATACAAAGCCACATTCCTGATTCCTGATTTGTGTCATCAGCTCCCACAAGACTCCATTCATCCAAAGAAAGCAGAAGCAGAAAATGTCATCGTATCAGAAGACAAAGCAAGAATATGAAAGGATAAAGGAGGAACGGGCACGAAAAAGAGAGGTGAGGAAATAGAAACTGGCAAATGTATCAGTTTGATGGAATTGTTCTACAGTTTTCCATTTCCTAATGAATCTCCTTTGTGATGTCATTAAGGAAGACTCGTTATGTCATGTAAACATACACATTTTCATTACCTTCAGTACATTCTTTGGCAAATGATTGATGCATGTTATATTATGCATGTCTGTGTAGGAAACACGCACACGCATACATAAACTGATACATACTAGCTGTTACTGTACCTGTCTGACTCTGCTGGTTCATTAGCTGAATCAGAGGCAGTAGTATTGTCAGTCGTCGTGTTTGAGATGTGTTTCTCAGTGAAAGGAGAATCCAGCACTGTTTTTAGTTCATCGTCTGCCTCTGTTTCTTCATCTACTCCTCTCCCTTTAGATCTTTTCTTCTTTTTTTCTTGTTCTTCTTCATCTAGTCGTTCTCTTTCCGCCAGGTATAGATGTCTCAGATGCTCGGGATATTCCTCCTCTAACTGGATTTTTGATGGTTGCATTTTTTTCCTCTCTATTCGAAGAAGTTTGTTGTATTCATGTTTTATTTTCTCCTTCCTTTTCAAAGCAAACCCCTGACCTGAGAAAGAATGAGAGAGAGATGAGATTCAAACAAAATACATTCCAAGTTTAGTCCTTTTTATGCACACTTATGAACTATTTATTGTATATACTGGTTGAAAGCAATGTATGCAAAAGAAGCCTTGGATTATACTTTAAGGAAATGGTATAAACACTTTCAAAAATATATGTAACCAACATTAATGCAAAGAATGCATATCTAAGAACTAGGCACCTGCGTTTTACACTAGATTTTTTTCTCATTTCAGACGTCTTTAATTGACCCTTATGACAAATTAGTTTATTCAGAGTGAATTTTCTACCTTGAATACACATTTACTCACCCTCTTTTAAACTACCATCAAAAACTTTGTTCTCCGGAACCCATTTTCTTTTCCTTTTGGCGTGGTGTGATAAACCACCATGTGCGAATTTGTTATTAAAACATTTTCCTCTAATTGGACCTTTACTTTTTGCATTTTGTTTTAAAGGTGCCATGCCTCACGTTAGCTTAACAGCTGCTAACACTAGTATGTGGACAAAACGAATGTTTATCGTGTAAAGAGTCAAGACGCACAATAATGACGTACGGATGGTCGCAAGGCATTACTAATAACAAAAAAAACGCCATTTTTGTGAATGCAACATATTCGATTCGCCCATTCAACTAAACGCAGACTGGTACACCCAACATGGCCGCACATTCGGTCGCCCAGTGGCTCAGTGATATCCTGATTTGACTACTTATGTCTTAAATTCTGTGTCAACAGCTGCTGCTCACGCTAAATATTCT